GTCCTTGTGCGTGAGGCAGCTGGCTAGTACCACTGGGCTAAATCCCTGGCCCAATTCCCAGCCTTTTTTAATTCATCTTGAGACAAGGTCTCACCGAATTAGTTAAATTGCCCTTGAACTCAATTCTTCTGCCATAACCTCCTGAGTAGCTGGGATTACGGATGTGGGTCACTGCATCTGGCTTTTTCTTTTTTTGCCTTTATAGAAATTTTATTACCAGACATAGAAATAATAAAACTCTACTGTGTTACATTAGTAGAGCTCAAGTTCTGATGTAAAGCATTATTTATTTGTGGACACATAAATCTCCATGCCCTAGGTAGGCATCCTGGGACAGGTGGAAAATACATAGTTTCCCTTTCCAGAAATTTGATAGAGTAGCCAGCTCTTGAGGGCTGACTATGAGGACCCGAGGGCAGGTGAATCCAGAAGAGCCAGGTGGGGCCTCGTGTACCTCTGGAAGTGTCACCTGTTTCCCCAGAAAGCTGCGATCCCTACCCCCGATATCCCCCCAGAGAAGGCGGAGGGGCAGCGTGGGTGTGCCAGTGGATTCAGATCAGGGTGGAGGGAATTTAGGCCCAGCCTTTGTCAAAGGCTGGAGCTGGAAGCAGGTGGGTGGAGAGAGTGGCACGACAGTGGCCTCCTCACAGGGCCAGCTAGAAGCGGATCAAACCAATCATGTGCTGGAAGACGTGCGCTTTCAGAGAACCGTCACACAGCCTGGCAGCTCTTTTTATCTAGGAAGAGCCCAGTGTGGGGTCCTGGCTGCTAGTCTCCCTACCTCCTTAAGTCCTGGGATAACCCTCTTTGCCTGAGATTTGGTATGTGTTTACTAGGCGCACATATCACAGGACTGTCCGAGAGTGTGGTCACCATTATGTGCCAGATGAGAAAAACGAGGCTCAGAGAAGAAGAGGGACTTACCTGAAGGCACACAGCCAGTGCAGAGCAGAATCAGGGCAGAAACTTAAATTCCTGGCCAGCCTCCTGTCCAGTACACCACAGCATCCTCTCCAATAAGCCATAGCTGCTCCTGAAGCCAAGTTCTGCAAACAGAGGAAGCGTCTCCTCTGTACTTCATTTGTGCCTCACATTTCCTGGGCAGGAGCTCAGGCCTGGTCAGACCCTATTATGAATTTCAATCAGGGTTTTTGTTGCCCTTAAAAAACAAAACAAATCCTTTCCCCCTTTCTCCTTTTGAATCTAAAGGAGACATTTACAAGCTGCGAACCGCAGAATATCTTTCTCCAACCCAAGTGTGAGCTTTGGGTTCAGTTTTCTGCTGGCCACCAGATCGCTAAAGCAGGTACACAAGTCCTTGCTGTCTCTGCGTGGTGGGGGCTGAGCTCTGGGCACCCCAGCAAAGAGGGTCAGATAGCAAGGAGGAGGCAAAAAAGGAGTTTGTAGAAACCCTGGGAGGCAGGCAGAGAAGTCTGAGTCTCTGCCTTTTACAGCACTAAGGTGTGGGCCAGAAGGAAGCAGGGGCCTGTGTGAAGGCGAGGTTCTCTTGTGGGACCTCAAGCCAGGCTCGAGTTGCCTCCAAGTAAGGAAGCTGAAGCCCTGGAGAGGCCTAACTTAGCAGGAATGGGGAAAGGCAGGTGAGTTGCTGCCAGGAGAGTAGCAACTAAGGAAGAGCCGCTGCAGAAGGCCCTGGAGTTGGACCCTAGCAGAGAGGCGCTCACAGAAATTTTGCCCAGATAAGGGGGCTCCGAGTACACCCCCCCGCCTCTCTAGGAAGCGGGGGTGTCCTTTCTACAGCAGATTCCCATTTTCATGGTCCGTCTCCTCTATATGAGAGGATGTTTAGCGTCTTCCTTTTTCTCACTTGTTAGGTGGTTTGGCCTGAGATGCGCACGCAGCATTTTGTCCATGGTCCAGCAGAAAAGGTAGAAGAGCTGGGATGCAAACCCACACTATATTATTCTAGATGCTTCCCCAGGCTGCCACAATGGCGCAGGAAGGGTGCCAGTTAGGAGGGACGTCCCAAGACCAGATCCCGAGGGTGGTTGCTGAATTCTGCCCGTATGTGTCCGGTACCTTTCATGGGCATGGCAACGGTCACAGCCTTCTCGGTGCAGCACTGGAATTCACAACAGTAAAGTCGGGGAATGAACTCAGCTGTTCCCGGAGAGATGATGAAGGGACCGGTGACCTTTCTGGCCCAGGTTCTAGGGCCATCAGCAGATCTAGATGCCAATCAAGTCCATGGATCGTGTACAGGTAGGAGGGACAGACCGCGCATAGGTCAGATGCCAAACTGGTTATAATCCATATCTCAGAACCTCTTCAAAAGAGATGAAGTTTACTGTATGCAGATGAAATCTGAGAGGGTTGGATCAAATGTCCCCGCTCTTCATGTATGGAGCGGAAGCTTAGAGGCAGCACAGGTGCAAAGGATTTGGGATTTCAACTGACTCAGTTCCACCTGACCGAAGGACTTTACCGTTGCCAAGAAAATTCTTAGGCTTTATTGGCAAAGGAAAACAACACCTGGGAGTATGCTTGGCTCTGGGTAGCTTGCTCCGAGAGAAGCCCTGGCAAACAGGAAAACATCCAGAGGGAAGTTTTTGGGGTGAAAATGAGCAGGAGGAATGGTTAGAGGTTCCAAGGACACCTAGCATGGTACTGGGGAGATCTGAGGGGGCGGCCCAGAGTCTGCCCGTGCTGAAAGGGTTGTTGTGGCTGTGGGAGCAGCCCTGTTCTCTGAGTGTCCCTAAAGTGGGGTTCACCTCAGTAGGAGAAGTAAGTAGAGATGGCAGCTGTGATTATCTGAGAACAAGTGGTGCTGGGAGACGGTGAGGTCACTGTGTTCAAAAATGAGCAGGACAAGCCGGGCGTGGTGGCACACGCCTGTAATTCCAGCACTCAGGAGGCTGAGACAGGAGGATCGCTGTGAGTTCAAGATCAGCTGAGCTACATAGTGAGTTCCAGGTCAGCCTCAACTACACAGTGAGACCCTGTCTCAAAAAACAACAAACAAACAGACAAACACAAGAGCAGGACAGCTTGGAGTTCGCGCATAAAATAAGTTGAACTTTTAATTCAGCCTTCCAGGAATGCTTTGTGTTCCTTTCAGGTATGTGTTGGTTCTTTAAGGACATAACAAGAAGCCAGGCTACATAGTGAGTTCCAGGGCAGTCTCAACTACAGAGTGAGACCCTGTCTCAAAACAACAACACAACAAACAGAATAAAAAGGCCATAACAAGGTTGACTGGAGGCTCACCCACTCCTCTTTCTCCCTGGGATGTGCTGCCAGCTCTGCTCCAGATTACAGGGCAGCTACGTTCATCTTTGAACTGTGGGTCCGTTCCGCGGGGTTGGATATTAGACTGTGGAGGAGATAAAGGGGCCAAATGATAAAGGGTCCAGGGTTCAGTTTCCCTGAGAAGAGATAAGACCCTCTCCCTGATTGTGTCCACTGGCGTAAAACTCTTGAGGCTGAGGTTGCGTTGCTGCCCTCGGATGTTCCCTGAAGTTGATCTGCTCTCCTGAAAAGCCCAGGGGCTGCGGTGTTCTGGAAGACCGCAGTGGAGAGCCTTGTGTTAGCCGCCGTGTGTGGGATGGCCTGAGAGTCAGCTGGGGGATGCCCAAGAGGATTTGTCGCAGCGAAGGGAAAAGGTTAATTCGTCCATTGCACGCCCAGGTCACCAGCCTAACCCTCACCGCGTGTCCTTGTTACAGCAAGAAGTTTTGACCTGCAGAAGTCAGAGGCCATGCTACGGAAGGTGAGATCTGTCTGGCTTTGCCTCAGTTTCTCCCCATCAGAAGCATCCCTGGTTGGATTCTTTTGCCCACCCCCACCTACTCCGATGGCAGATTTTGGCTTGTGTGACGTATCTGAGTATTAGCTGACCACTGTTGACTTACCCCTGTGGGACAAAGGGCATTCCCTTCCTGGGAAATACAGAGTTTTCATAGTTCTGGGCCAGCCAAGGATGATAATCGGCTGTGTTGAGACTTCTAAAACAGGCAGGGCCTTCTTTTCCATCCTTGCCTAGTGCCTTCTAGTGACCAGTTGTGTTCTGGTGGTTGGTTCATGATGTCATTTATTGCTAAATGCTTATTAAGGATCCCACCCATTCTGCCCCATCTCCTGCTTTTAAAAAATCTCTCTGTGGCTGGGCTGGTGGCCGTGTGGTACACCTGTAATCCCAGCACTCCAGAGGCTGAGGCAGGAGGATTGCTATGGATTTTTTTTTTTTTTTTTT